CTAGTTTTTGTTCTCTTTTTGGTATCCTAAGTGCTACAGGTAGAAATTGGAGCAACTAACATAAAGTCCATGATGTCTGTTGGGTGGGGAAATCTTTTTATTTTTTTTAAAAATATTTTATTTTTTAGAGCAGTTCCAGGTTCACAGCAAAATTGAGAAGACAGTATTGAGAGGTTTATTTATCCCCATCCTCATCCCCACATGCGCACAACCTCCCCTACTGTCAACATCCCACATCAGAGAGGTGCGTTTGTTACAACTTATGAAACCGACACTGACCCAAAGACCGGAGTTTGCATTAAGATGCACTTTTGGTATTTTATATTCTATAGGTTTCAACAAATATGTAATGACATTTTTATATCCACAATTGTATCTACAATTTTAGTATCACCCAGAATAGTTTCACTGCCCTAAACGTCCTCTGTGTTCTGCCTTTTTATCCTTCCATCTCCCCTGGTCTCTAGCAACCACTGATCTTTTTACTGTCTCCATAATTTTGCCTTTTTCAGAATGTCATAGAGTTGGACTCCTACATGATCTAGCCTTTTCTGATTGGCCTCTTTAACTTAGCAATATGCATTTAAGTTGCCTCCAAATCTCATAATTTAAAATCTCATTTCTTATTTATTTATTTATTGAAGTATATTCAGTTACAATGTGTCTATTTCTGGTATACAGCATAATGTCCCAGTCATGCATATATATACATATATTTGTCTTCATATTCTCTTTCATTAAAGGTTATTTCAAGATATTGACTATAGCTCCCTGTGCTATACAGAAGAAATTTGTATTTTTGTCTATTTTTATATATAGTGGTTAACATTTGCAAATCTCAACCCCCTCAAATTTATCCCTGCCAAACCCCTTTCCCCTAGTAACCATGATTGTTTACTATGTCTGCAAGTCTGTTTCTGTTTTGTAGGTGAGTTCATTAATGTCTTCTTTTTTCTTTCTTTTCTTTTAGATTCTACATATGACTAATATCATTTCTTTTTATCATAAAAACCCTTTTACCAAGGAAGAATTTGTCTTCTGGTCAAAAGTGGTATAGCACAGCAGTCCCCTGTTATCTGCAGGGGGTACATTCCAAGACCCTTAGTGGACGCTTGAATCATGAATAGTACCAAACCCTGTATGTACACATACTATATTTTTTCCCATGCTTATGGATGGGTAGCATACACAGCATGAATGTGCTGGACAGAGAGATGATTTATGTCCCTGAAAGGACTAAGCAGAATGGTATGAGATTTCATTGCACTACTCAGAATGGCTCACAATTTAAAACTTATGAATTGTTTACTCCATTTAATCTTTTCATACGGCAGTTGACCACAGGTAACTGGAACCCTGGAAAAGGAAACTACAGATAAGGAGGGACTATGGTATAATGAAAAGAACAGAGACCCTGATGCTAGAAGGATCAGGGTTCAAAACTGCTTTGACCACTTGTCAGCTGTGGGACCTTAGAAAAATCACTTAACTTCTTATACTTATTAATACTTATACTATTAGTATGAGGATAAAATAAGGAGTGTAGAGTCCTGGGTGAGACAAGGTGTAGAAGAAGAAAATTAAAAGCCCTTGAGAAAAATTCAGTGTTTTCTTTATAATTCTTCTAAGCCATGCAGGATAGGAGAAAGAAAGACAGAAAGCATTTAATTTGGGACTATAGAACT